AAATGGACACAAAATTTCTATTTTTTTTTTAAATTAAAGTTTTGGAAGTGACGTGGTGCAAATGATTACTCGCAAAGTGGGTAACAAAAATATATTTATTCAACCAATAATACTTAAACTAATTTTAGATGTAAGGCGATACGATGCGCGTAGAAAGGAAGTCTACGACCCTTTTTCGGGGCTCCCTTAAGTAGCCCCTTTTCCCTGGGAAAGTCCCAGGAAGTGTGGGCGCAATACTCTTGTCCTCGAGGGCGAAGAATCGAGAGATGTTTGGAAAAAGGGCCAAGAGTCGTCAGGACTAAGTGCGTGGCCCTCCGTGACGGTCGCCACAGTTAGCAATACGAATGTTTGTGCGAGAAAGTCCGACGAAGCTGTCGCGAAATCGATTGTGCAACTTCGCGGTTTCCACTTCTCGAGGATGCAATAACAAACACACCGAGTCTTTCGCATAAATTACCAGCTACCTGCTAATCACCCTGTCTGCGCGTAAAAAACCATCGAGAATTCGCGTAATCAACCACAACAGGTTTGAGTGTGCAGGAGTATCGACGAAGAAGTTGTTGCAAAAAAATGTGGATCGTTTTCGAACGAAGTTTTACGGTACAAGCGGAGAATTTCCCAACGATGGGAAATATCGCCGGTCGAATTGGCAGGCGGGTGTTCATTGATTTCACGGTTGCCAAAAGTATCGTGTAACCGCATCGGAAATATCGGTTTTTGGTTCGTTAGATCATTGTCAATGTCTATCTTGGAGCGCGACGATGCACGGAAATAACGTATCTCTGAGATCGCTGCCAATAAAAACCGATTTTCGTCAAGTGGTTGGGAACCTTGCCGCTAATTTGCATTCAAATTACTCGATACTATTAAGAGACGTTACCTAAACCTAAACATTTCTTCTCGTTTACATTGGCGAGCTGAAAATCCACTCGAATCTGCCGCGTTAAATGAAATTCGTTCTTATCTTCTGAACGCGAATACCTCGTTGATTGATCAAACGAACAGAAATTAAACGCCAGGATGCTCGAAAGTTTATCGCGTAAGTCGACAGATAAATTTCGTTTATTTTATCGATTATTTCATATCTTTATTTATACTTTGTATCGCGAGCTTACCGATGATACGCTCTAATTCGTAACGTAAGGAGTTTTCGTATTAAATTGATCGATTCATCGTAGATCCACGTCGTGTGAAATAAATCAAGGGATTCGGTCAGAATTGTTCGCGTTGGCTCGGTAGAAACTGTGTTTCACCGGTAAACTCACGATACAGCGATCCAGAATCGCAGGGTTCGGTCGTTGTGAATGTAATCGGAGCGAAGAAAGGACAAACGGCCGTTAAACACGGTGTCAATCCACGGAAGAGGGTTTTCACAAGGCGGTACTCACTTTGAAGCTGTTGTATCGTGGCCTGATATTCAGCTAGTTTCTCGTCCACGTAATCCTGACTCTGGTTGGCTATTATTTCCGCGGTGCTTGGCCCGCTGAATTCCTCTTCTGCCTGCGTGGGATCCAGAGGCACTCCGACGTATTCGTAATCGCCGGGTCTGTACGTCCCGATCATGTACTCCGGTGGTCCGGCGACTAGAGGCGAAGACGCGCCACTTTCCATCGAGCTCTGTTAGAAACGAGGCGCAGAGAAGAGAAATTAAACCGTCGACGATATTGAGAAGGAATTGTTTCGCGCAGAAAGCTAGGAAGAACGCCATTTACAATTTGTGGAAACGTCCGATGCCTCGAAAATGAACGCTCGTGTTTGTAGACGTAGAAGTTTGTACGAGAAAGATAGAAACGCTGCGTCAAATGCAGAATCTTATACATAGGGTGTCTTACTTGAGTTGAACACCTGAATTATTTTCACTGGCGTTGAAAGTAAGAATAAAATGATTTAAGAGAAGTTCAGATGGTTTCAGTCATCTTGAGTGAAAGGTCATTCCAAGGTCACCGGCGTTTGCTTTTGTCGCAATTTAAGGTCACCTGAAGGTCACGATGTCGCAGGTCGTTGGATTCGTCCTGACATAAACTACAATATTACTTTACAGAAAAGCGATGTTAACGAGCAAAAAACGACGACGACCTTGAAACGACCTTGAGAAACCTCTCTTGTTGTTATCAAACGCATGTCCTGAAACCATACAAACTCTTCTTAGCCGTCTTCCTCTCACTTTCAACGGTAGATCGACGGAGATCGATGCACGTGTGTTTCTACGATTCTACGATTGCGTTCTAGCCAGTTCTTGCGGTAGGTCACTTTCGTTTGAAAGAAAACGTGCTGCAGGTAGACGTTTGCGTTCGAGGGAGATCACGGTTGTTGTTCCACAATGCATGGAAAATGTTCGAAGAGCGATAAACGAATGTTAATTTAAGTTTATCTTAACGTGAATCATCGGTTCAAACGCGAGCTTCTCTAACGAGATGATAACGCAGCCGCATTCTTTACTTTTAACCGCTGTTGCTTAGTTATTAATTGATTATCGCGAAATGTCGCCTTGCAATTTCTTGATCGTTCGATGGAATTTTTTGTTAGCTGTTTTTACCGTGTTTCAGTATTCCGGTATTTTGAGGATTTTAATATCTTGACATTTCACAAGTTTGCTATTTTTAAGCTTCGATGTTTTCATATTTTGGAGACTTAATATCTCGATATTTTACAATTTTCCTATTTTTAAGGTTTGATATTTGAAAATTTGATTAATCTCTGAATTTCGGCACTTTCAAGCTTCAGTATTTTTACTGTCCAGACATTTCAGAATTTCCGTATTTCAGTTATCCTTTTCAGCTCTAATATTTCAATATTTCACTATTTTCAGGACTTTACGAAAATCGGTATTTCAACTGTCACAGTACTCCTCCATTATTCTAATATTTCAATACTCGTTTCACATCCAACAATCGTTCAAACTGCAACGTGGCAACTCGCAGCTCGCTCGATGACACATTTAATCGGTAATTATATAAACATTTCCCAGAAACTCGCGTCCGTCTTGCGTTCAACGAGCGCATAAATTTTCGCGGTTGGCCTAATACCTGCTGTCTCGCAGATTCACAGCTCCCGACAGACGGGAGAAAAATTGCGACACGTGTAAACGAATATTCTCAGATTCTTCGAGAGGGAAGGCTTATCGATACGGCCAATCTCCCGACAGAAATTTCTGCGAGAAAGTCCGACGAAGCTGTCGCGAAATCGATTGTGCAACTTCGCGGTTTCCACTTCTCGAGGATGCAATAACAAACACACCGAGTCTTTCGCATAAATTACCAGCTACCTGCTAATCACCCTGTCTGCGCGTAAAAAACCATCGAGAATTCGCGTAATCAACCGCAACAGGTTTGAGTGTGCAGGAGTATCGACGAAGAAGTTGTTGCAAAAAAATGTGGATCGTTTTCGAACGAAGTTTTACGGTACAAGCGGAGAATTTCCCAACGATGGGAAATATCGCCGGTCGAATTGGCAGGCGGGTGTTCATTGATTTCACGGTTGCCAAAAGTATCGTGTAACCGCATCGGAAATATCGGTTTTTGGTTCGTTAGATCATTGTCAATGTCTATCTTGGAGCGCGACGATGCACGGAAATAACGTATCTCTGAGATCGCTGCCAATAAAAACCGATTTTCGTCAAGTGGTTGGGAACCTTGCCGCTAATTTGCATTCAAATTACTCGATACTATTAAGAGACGTTACCTAAACCTAAACATTTCTTCTCGTTTACATTGGCGAGCTGAAAATCCACTCGAATCTGCCGCGTTAAATGAAATTCGTTCTTATCTTCTGAACGCGAATACCTCGTTGATTGATCAAACGAACAGAAATTAAACGCCAGGATGCTCGAAAGTTTATCGCGTAAGTCGACAGATAAATTTCGTTTATTTTATCGATTATTTCATATCTTTATTTATACTTTGTATCGCGAGCTTACCGATGATACGCTCTAATTCGTAACGTAAGGAGTTTTCGTATTAAATTGATCGATTCATCGTAGATCCACGTCGTGTGAAATAAATCAAGGGATTCGGTCAGAATTGTTCGCGTTGGCTCGGTAGAAACTGTGTTTCACCGGTAAACTCACGATACAGCGATCCAGAATCGCAGGGTTCGGTCGTTGTGAATGTAATCGGAGCGAAGAAAGGACAAACGGCCGTTAAACACGGTGTCAATCCACGGAAGAGGGTTTTCACAAGGCGGTACTCACTTTGAAGCTGTTGTATCGTGGCCTGATATTCAGCTAGTTTCTCGTCCACGTAATCCTGACTCTGGTTGGCTATTATTTCCGCGGTGCTTGGCCCGCTGAATTCCTCTTCTGCCTGCGTGGGATCCAGAGGCACTCCGACGTATTCGTAATCGCCGGGTCTGTACGTCCCGATCATGTACTCCGGTGGTCCGGCGACTAGAGGCGAAGACGCGCCACTTTCCATCGAGCTCTGTTAGAAACGAGGCGCAGAGAAGAGAAATTAAACCGTCGACGATATTGAGAAGGAATTGTTTCGCGCAGAAAGCTAGGAAGAACGCCATTTACAATTTGTGGAAACGTCCGATGCCTCGAAAATGAACGCTCGTGTTTGTAGACGTAGAAGTTTGTACGAGAAAGATAGAAACGCTGCGTCAAATGCAGAATCTTATACATAGGGTGTCTTACTTGAGTTGAACACCTGAATTATTTTCACTGGCGTTGAAAGTAAGAATAAAATGATTTAAGAGAAGTTCAGATGGTTTCAGTCATCTTGAGTGAAAGGTCATTCCAAGGTCACCGGCGTTTGCTTTTGTCGCAATTTAAGGTCACCTGAAGGTCACGATGTCGCAGGTCGTTGGATTCGTCCTGACATAAACTACAATATTACTTTACAGAAAAGAGATGTTAACGAGCAAAAAACGACGACGACCTTGAAACGACCTTGAGAAACCTCTCTTGTTGTTATCAAACGCATGTCCTGAAACCATACAAACTCTTCTTAGCCGTCTTCCTCTCACTTTCAACGGTATCGGAGGTAATAATAATACAACGGAGACAATTCAATCGAGTGGCGACTGAGAAGCGACATGAAACAACTGTCACTTGGTAAATAATTGATCGAGATAGAAAGCAGATCCTTCCGCCTCCGTAAATCTGTTCGCCGTAGTGAAATAGAGAGTGCGTCGAATACTTAAACAAAACGGTACAGTTTATTCCTACGTAAGTTTGAAAAAATGTCCGACTTGCAACCTTTCCTACAGCAAAATGGCCTCCGAGTGCAAACGGTTGAACGTTGAATTCAAGCGAGACACCCTGTATATACCCAGTTCGCAGCGCACACGTGTACTTTTTCATTAATCCAAGTTCCATCCAATTGTACTCTAATTCTGCGAATTTCCTTATCGAGCCGATCATCCTCCAACCTAGTCATCGCTCCGAGATTCTCCAATTGCCCCTTAAAATCGAATCTTATCTCGATTCCATCTACCGCGCGTTCTCCTTTCTGTTCATTTTTACGCCCACATAACACACCGCGATATCCTGCTCGATTTTCCCTTGCGCATCCCCGGCCGTGCTCGATCCTTTCTCCTCGATCGTCACGGACAATCCAGACGCTCGGTCTTTCGCTCGCTACACGCGCGAGTCCTCGCCGCGATTCGATCGCGCCAGCCAACGGTGCATTCACACCTGGCGAGCGTCTCGCAGCGAAACCGGTCGTTGGAACTTGCGTTCGCGGCCTACATTTTATTTAGGTCCCTATTTCGTCGCTGCCTCGCCGAGTTGGACACGCGGGCATGTGGACGAACGAGCCACGGGGCGAGTTTATCGTTCTCTTTGCGTGAAACGAAGACGATTGTTCCGATAGAGAGGTATATTTCGCTGCCACGCGGCGAATTTATCGTTCTCGAAGGAACCTTGCTCGCGTCAACGTTGCAAAAATCTGACGAAGATGATAGTCCTCGCGACGCAGGAAAGAATTCTCATTCAGGTGTGAGAAGAAGAGACGGAGGTATATTTCGTTGCCGCGTGAACGCAAGAGAGCTTGTTATTCGGGAGAGAAAAAGAGAAAGAGTTTGACACGTGTTTCGTGTTTCGAGTACGATTTAACATACGGTTTTGTAGTTTCAAGGCGATGGTGGGTAACAGGCTATCTATGCGTACACACTGATTGGTCCTGTCTATCGGGGTGACTAATGGGGCTAAGAATAAAGTAGATCTCGCTGCGGTCTAGCTACTTTCCACGGAATCTCACGTTTCTATGATTACCCCTGATCGAATGCCTTCGGTTAGAATAACCGGACATAGCGCAAACACTGCATTCCCCGTAGCTGTAGATCCTCTAATGCCAACAAATATGCTTTAATTTAACGTCGGTATCGGGAGAGTACGATATGCTTCTTCGAAATTGATAATACAAATATGTTACGGATCTTAAGGATCTTACGAGAGACTCAGAAATATAAGAACTTGGATTAATCTATCTAAATCCTCATTTTATCGTAATCTGTTATGAAACTTGGCTTCACAATTGCCTCCTTTCTTCTGCAACGAATTTCTCTTCTTTTTTTTTAACCTGTTAACCAGATTCGCCTTTCATACAGAAATCTAATCTCTCCAGATTCTAATTAAAAATTGGTAAAAATTGCAATCAGTGACTTTAATTCTTGGATCTTTAATACAGAGGTAATAGAGCAGTTAGAAATGACCAATCTCTAAATAAATAAATTACCGGCGAACCAACGACGAGTTGACTCAACTTCCCTAGTTAAGAAGTTAAAATCTTTGATACCCCCAAAAGAGAAATTCGTAAACATTTATATAGCGACAGCTGAATCCAGAAATCTCCAATATTCTCAAGATATCCTGCGAACCAACGACGAGTTCACTCATCTTCCTCAGTTAAGAAGTTAACAAATTTTAACACCCCCAAAAAGAAACTCTAAAATCTCACGTAAAGATAGCCTAATCCAGCAAACTCCAATATTATCAAGATATCCTGCGAACCAACGACGAGTTCACTCATCTTCCCCAGTTCGGTAATTAACACTCTTTAATGCCCCCAAAGAGAAACTCAGGCCGATAGAGCCGAATCCAGCAAACTAAGATATCGTGCGAAGCAACGACGAGTTAACTGACCTTCCTCGGTTCAGAAACGAACAAATTTTAACGCCCCAAAAAAGAAACTCGCGGCGATAGATCTGAATCCAGCAAACTCCATTAATATCAAGACATAGTGAATAATACCTGTGTCGGTATGTACGGCCTCGGTGCCTGACTCGAAACAGGAAGCGGCGACGGCCATCTTGGTCTCGGGCATTGAATGTATCCGGTGGGTGATCCAAAAACCGGCGATATCCCGGGAGAAATGGGCATTCCAATAGGTACTGGGCTCATCGGGTGCATCATTCCGGTGTACGTCAACGGTGACGCAGGATGAGCATGATGAACCGGTGTCGGTGGTCCTCGAGCTCGCGGAGGATGAGGTGAGCCCGTTGGACTGAAAGGGGACGGAGGTCGGTATTGGCCAGACACAGAAGGTCTGGCTGTCCAACCACCCCCTGGCCCGGGCTTTCCATGGGGTTTCGACGGCGGCTGCGACATCTCTGGCTATTTCGAAGCTTCTCGCGGCGCACTTCGATCACCTAGCATCGCTGTAAAGGGTAAAACGTGTGAACGAACCAATGGTAACGATCATGATTTTCCTTAATATGTTATTTTTTCGGCATTTAACCCTTTCGTGACATATCCCACTTGAGTACAGAAAGAAACTTTGACGTGAATTCGGTATCCATTGTAGATAAAGTGCAAATTCTTTGGAAAAATTGTTCGATCGCGAAAGGGTTACTGAAAAATTATACCGTGTGCAATGTGAATTGGAAACTTTGTTCCGAGTCATCTAGCTTCGTTGTGAATGGTAAAATGTGTAATTGTTCAGACAGTTTTTTCTGTGAACCAACGGTAACGTTAAGTAATACAGTATTTCTGGGTATTTAACCCTTCTGCGGTATACATCTCACTACACGAAGAAAATTTCATATCAATTCAATATCCATTGTAGATAAAGTGCAAATTCTTTGGAAAAATTGTTCGATCGCGAAAGGGTTACTGAAAAATTATACCGTGTGCAATGTGAATTTGAAATTTTCTTCTAAATCATCTAGCACCTCTGTGAATGGTTAAACGTGTAATTGCCGAGACGATAATTGTCATAATGGTAATTTTCGAGAATAACAATATTCTTCGGTATTCAACCCTTTCGTGACCACTTGAGTCCTCGAAAAACATTGCATCTCGATTCAGTATCCATTGTAGGCAAATTCGCGAAAAAATAATTCGATCACGAAAAAATTCTACCATCTGCAATATCAATTCGAAGCTTTCTTCTATACCCGGGGAACAAAATTGGAACATCTACCGATGACGTAGTATCTAAGCGACGAAGAATGTATCGAGGTAGTAAAGAGACACGACGGATATTAGCGCGTCTATATCGACTGGAATCAGAAGGTATGGAAGTGGAAGCGTGTTGGACGTGTAACGAGCTCTGGGTCGCGTAGTGGCAGTGAGTAGGCAGATTAGGATGGGCAATCGTCCAAAAATCTCTCGAAATAGGCGCTTAGATTGTCTGCCTTCTCGCTGACTTGTGCACGTTAGCGCGTGGACAATGTGTAACGGACAAATCGTGGCGCCGTGCGTGACATTACACAATTCGAAGAGGCACGATGTACGCGGGGAAAAGTTTAACGATACCATTATCTACTTTTTCCACTCTTACTATCGGTCAAATTATGCGCCTACTCCTGTACAAACTAAAATTTCTCTGTCCATGCAAAATCCTCCAACACTGTCCTTTCGCTCTTTCAAAATCAAACTGATTCGATAAAAAAATTCTCTTCTTTATCGTCGCGAATTTTTCAGGTAAGCGATTAGCGCCTGCGAATCAAAATGAAATTTGGATTTTTCGGCGCGGCGAAATTCGCAAGATTCCCGAGAAGGATTGCCAGGAAACATAGGGAAGTTAGCGCAGCGCTGTTACACAGGTCGAAGGTCTAAAGGTTTTTGGCTGGATATCGAGTGTAGGCCGACTAAATATAGCGGCAAATCTATTTCAGAGAGACTCGAGCAGTGCCCACAGACGTGTCCGACACGGCAGGTATATTTGCAACGAGTGCGTCAGATATTTCAGAAAGTGACGCGAATATTAACACCTACAATTAGCCTTGCTTCGTGACATGCGTGAAACCTGCATGGCGCTACCATTGTTCCGCTCTAAGCGCCGCTCCTTCCTTCCGCGCTTTTCTCATTCAAATCCATGCAAACACGCGCAAAATGAAATTTTACAAGGAACAATTCGACGTTTCCCTAAATTCAACTATGTCGTTGTCTGAAAAAATAAACCGAGCAAGAAAAACACGCGAATTCTCGTTGTTTAATTTAGTTAGCAGCATGATCGTGACCCAATTTCTACGATTTCTATCGTTCGACACGAACCACCTCGAGCTTGTGTAAATAAACAGATCGAAGGACGAAGAGCGCAAGGCGGCCTCCCTTTAGGAGTGAGAGACGCGGTGCTGGTCAAAGGCACGCGTCCATTTTGTTCTTGTTAAAGTTCACGAGCGCCATTACGTCGGTAAGCTGCACGAGTTCGTTCCACCGAATTGTAATAAAGATCATCGAGAGGAATCGAGCGCCGGTCTATTTATACCACCGACCACTCGACGCGCAGCGATAAGCTTGCACGTACGTATGAAAAAGCCAGGTTCTTCTTGCGAATAACAAAATACGAAATCGAGGGTTTAATTACGAGAAAGGAAGAAAGAAGAAGAAGAAGAAGAGAGGAGAGGCGTCTCTTGTGCATGATTTACCATAAATAAATATTTAAGAGGTTTTTAATGGTGACCTCGATGGAGGAACGACGAGTTAAGTACGGCCGGTAGGAGAAAAAGAAGTACGAAAGAAGCATTATCTACGGGTGGAAACGAGTTGTTGGCTCGCTGGATCCTGGACCTCGGATGCTGCGTCCAAAAATAAGATTACTGGCGAATTAACGAACAGAAATAGTCTTGGTTGAGAACGGATGCTCCTGACACAGGTTGCTCGTACCGGTTAACCCCGATGGGTAATTACTGTTCGAACTTTCGACCGAGTCGCCCTGTGCGGGATTAACAGCGAGGTGGAACGCGGCGAAGGGACCACCGATGATTTACGAAGGATCACGTTAGGAACTTTTAGGAATGTTCGCCGCTCTGCGGTTACGTTGTATCGATCACTTGATTAAAAAACACTCGAATTACGTGGTTTACGAGTTCGAACGATGTTTCTGTTGTGATAAAAGACGGTATCCATTTTTGGGAATCTTGCGGACTCTGAGGTGCTGGATCGTATCTATCACTCGATAAAAAGCACTTGAAATTCAGTCTGCGAGATCGAAGAATGTTTGTTTTAATTGTGAATACATTTTTCTGGTATCTTTCAATTTGACAGTGTTAACAAATGTTAACATTCTTCTTTCTCGAGGTTAAAGTAGAGAGAAAATATTAAAACAGTACCGAAAGGACGTCGAATCGTTGGCCACGGGCGATCAACGACAATCAGCTGCGTGTAAAACTCCGAGAGAAGAAAGAGGCGAAGAGCACACGGTTTTAGCGACGGTTCCGTTGATCGGATCGTGTGTTCGATCGATCTCGTTTTCGTTTTCTCAGGCTTCGTTTGCCCGAAGGAACATCGGGCACGCGTTCTCGCGTTTACCACCGCGAAACTGTTCGAAACACCGCGATGTTCTCGAAAAAGGGGGTGGTGGTGGTGGTGGGCGCGATCGGTTTTGTAAGTCGGTTTTTCGTAGTACGGTCCACGACGAAGACCACGAAGAGACTGGTGCTGCTCGCTGGTTCATCGGTCCAGGATCCGCTTGCCGCGACATTTATATTTAACTTTGGCGTCGCTCGAGCTTTCGGCTTCGGTTTACCACTCGCCACCATTTCTCTGCTCAACCGTTCCCGTTCTACATTTCCACGTCCCTTTGCCTCGCTTTACGCCCTCGATGCTATCCTCTTCGACGTCGTCATCCCCCTCGTTCCCTCCTTGCTGCGTAGATTCCGAGACCAACAGGGGATCACGCGCCGGTTTCCGTTTTATTATGGGCGCTGAGGTAAGATCGCGGGATTTTCGCTTTATATCGTCGACCAGGATTTCCGGGGGGACTGTTGACGCGTGTGTTCGAAGACACAGGATGCTCGAGAGAATTTGGAAGTTTTTTCAATTTTCGAAGGTTATCGTCAATACTGACTCACGTTAAATTTGGTTAGGCGAATCTAGGAGAATGAAGTTTGTCGGATTTTTCTGCTTTATGTTGAAATAGATATATATGGGAGTCAGAGAAGTATTCGTACCCCAATTGTCATATTTAGGAGATTGATGTTTTTTTTTCAGGATACGAGTTTTGAAATTGTTATCAATGGAAGTGTATCGAGTAAGATTTCCATTGACATAAATTTTGTGTAAAATCTTTCTTCCATTTCTGCCCATAGGTGCTCGGTAGCAGTGTAAATTTTTGATTTATTCACAAAATTGTGGCATTTAGTTATAAAAAATATTCAATATGAGTACATTACAATAATTTACAATAGTTGCAAATTTGAATTTTCGTTATACGACGCTTGGGACGAAGCTTCTACGCTTACTCTTCCAACTAAAAACGTCCTTTCCCACAGATTGTCCGGCTCGAGAAGACGGGTCAAAACTGACCCAGCCTCGCTGACCAACTCTCAAGTGTCGAATCGAACGAGTTTAACGAGTTTGGCATTTCCGGTAACGAGAGCAAAGTTGGAATGATGGATGGAGATGTTTTGAACTTTCGAGTATGATTTGGATAGGTGTTACTAATGGATGAGTGTGAGGCAAGCATGGAGGAGGAGCCACCGGAAGTTGACAGCTGAGGCCTGTGAAGTTGATGAGCGCCTTGACCTCTTTGTGTTTACCGAGAACCTATTTCCAGCCGTTTACTACGGCACTTTTTATTTCCAACTATTATTCGATAAATATTCTACAAATATACAAATCTCGATCCATCGAACAAGCTTTTCCAAAATAGATCTTCTAGAAATTTTAATACATCAAATGGAGAAAATCACGAAGATTTATTCTAGTCATTTCCCAAATCAGATTTCTGTCGATTCAAGCTACAACCTTATCAGATCCTTGTCACTTCTCGTTCAAAATTTTCACGTGACACACTCCGAACAGAGAAATCCGATTTTATCAGAAATTATCACTGCTGATAATCTCGCTTTCCCTCCGTGTACCTCGAGTTGATAAGCTTTCCTCGACAGCCAGTCACAGAGCTCTTCTGAAATAAGTAAGATACGTCAGGTTCATCCTAGAAACGAACCACGATAAGTGCAGATTCCTACCATGAAATCCACTCTTACCAACGGTCGATTCACGTTCAATTGCACCCAGTCAACAAAAGGCGCTCAATTCAAGCTCCGTTTAAAAAAGCTCTTATCGTAACAGAGGCAAATATCGATTCGCGTAACTTTTAACAAACTTCGACGTGTGAGCTTCTTTTTTTTTTAACCTTTTTCTTACGAAGAAAAACGACACACCATCGACAGCTTGTGAAGAAACTTTTTCCCTCCTATATCCATCTGCGGGATAACGAAACCAGACGACATTAAGCCGTTCCACAAATCGAACTCCGTTTACCTATCTTTATATCGACGCCCTCCCTCTCTCATCGAAATACAACCGTTCTCCGGCAGACTGTACGAAACACGCGACAAAATCCCATAGAAACTGCGTAGAAAGTTTTACGACTGTGTCGAGTATCGAGATTCTCGAGATATCGCCGAGATTGGTCAATTTCGCGTTTCGACGAAAGCTCGGGAAACGATGTTTTTCGCGGGGATTTGCCGCGTTCGCGGAAAATATTAACAGTTTCGCGGGTATAATTGAATCTCGGGATAGTCCTCGCCCTCTTCGTTGCTTTCACGGCGTCGACCAATGCAGAAACGCGAGACACCGTAAAGTTATTTTAACCGTGGGTGCTTGGGAGCGATGCAGTTGAGGAATTTTCATCGTCGGTCCAGCCCCGGACGGATTTTACGAGGGCGAACTTTACGATAAGCTGGCCTTTTCTCGCGACTCCCAGGCTCGTTCGCCTCGCAATCTCCTCGACTTTGCGTTCTCGTTAAGAGGAAGACGAGTGGTCGCTGTGTGTCTCGGGGAAGAAAAAACTGTGGAGAAAGAGGGAGAAGAGAAGGACGAGGATTAAGAGGGAAGGGAGCGCGAGGCATAAAGCTTGAAAGCTTATCGAGTTCGTTTCTGTTCTGACAGAGTGTAGATTCGCGGCTTTCTCCGACGATGCGGGAGGATATTACGTTTGAAAATGACGGTGTATCGTTTTTCGAGAGACCGATGCTCGAGAGAGGTACGGATAGAAATTCGGCGTCGTAAAGTTCGGACAGAGTGAATCGCGCGCGGGCACTCGTAAAACGGTGAACTTCCGAAAGAATATTCGGAATCGATCAAACTTCCACGCGTCAGATATCTCTTCCTGTTCGGAGGAATATTCTGGCGCACTCACTGTGCAAAGTTTTCGGATTTCTTGGTCGAAACGGCGGGGTTATTACGTCGATGGGCGGTAAAAGATATAGATGACACACTTTTAGTTTTCTTTCGGGTGAAAGATGGTTGGTACAGTTAACAGTGTACTTTGGAGGATTGATAGACTACCGATACTCTTTAAAAGTGAAGACAAAGTAGAAACGTATTTTGTCACTAAAAGACAGCACAGATGTGTATATTTTCTTCTACTGAGAAGTAAAGGAGTAACACAGATATGTGGAATTTATCGCAGACACTTGTGATTTCGGAGAAAATTTGGTGAAACAATTTGGAACACCTTTGGTGAGAATTTTAGTCGCTCGTAAATATTATACGTTTCAATGGTTACAGAAAATACTGCTTAGAAATATCGGTAAGAATTTCTTCGCTAAGCACATTGAAATTGTTCGTAAAAGGGGAGAATCGAAAGGATTTGGAAGGGAAGATGGCGACACAGGAACCGGAAGGAGGACCGTCGAAATGGCCAGTGATCATTCTTCGTTTGAAAACGGCAAATACGAGTCCCTCTGTTGTCCCCGTGGTTCCTGCGGCCACTTCAATTCCGGTCCCTTTTTCCTCGCCGCGCGGCAATGGAAGATGGAACGGCGAAACGCCGCTGAAAACGGCCAGCAAACGAGCGCCACCATGATTTGTGGCCCGCTTATTCCGGCTGATCGGCGATTTATTTCTGTCCGCCGCGTTCTGCGACCGGTTTGCGTTGCTTCCCTAGTAAAACGTTGCTGAAAGGGCGACTGAAGGTGTTGGATGTCTGTCGAGTAGTTAGACCGCGAGATTTTACGATTGCCTTTGATATTTTCTTCTTACTTTTACGTCGGAGGAATTTTAATCATTTTCTTTCTCTCGAGTAATGTATCTTTAGAAAGTCTCTCTCTATCTGTACAATATCCAACGTTTATCGTACGTTTCTTGTATCCCCGAAAGTTGCTGGAACAATAGAGCACACGTACAGCGACTCCGTTTCCGAGCATTATTCTTCCACTTTCGTTGATTGCCGTCAAACCGCTCGTTCTACCCCTCACGCATGAGCCTTTCGACGAAACGCTGGATTTCATCTCTTCGACTGCCGAAAGATCTCTTCGTTCGTCTCGAGACATTTCGGAGATGAAAGAATCTTGGAAATCTGGAGATTTGGACGAGCGGTTGTCGAAATCGAGGCAGATTCACGCGCGTATGATACGCACAGGGACTGAAGAGAGGAGAGAGCGAGGAAGAGAGAAAGAGAGGAGAGACAGAAACGTTTAGTTTTCACGTTTTATCTGCTCCGTCGTCCGTGCGCCTCTTTGTTTACCACGATGACGGACAATCGACGAAGCCTGGTGGGGAGAAAAGGCAATTTTTCGTTTCATTTTCGCGCTGAACGGATCGGGCGAGGATTAAAAAGCTTCGAACTGGTTGATATCGAAGCGGATCGTTGCGCGGCTCCTGATAAAAGAATCCAGAGGGGAACGACGGAAAATTTTTTTTCCCCGTGGAGAAACGAGCTCCTCCTTTCTTTTCGCCCTTCTTTTTTCATTTTTCAACGGAGGCATACTCGTAACGACACAGGCCGAAAATGCGCGCACGCTTCTTCCGTCCGTCCTCCTTCGTGCACGCTTTCAATTAACAGGGAGAACGCAATTAATGGCCAGTTCGATGATTACCTATCCTCTCCCCCTTCATTTTCCCACCCTTCCTCCACTCAGCTGTCCCTTGTGAAGTTTCGAGCGAGATAACACAGCGCATTGTATGCAAATTGACAAAAGCTTAGATAACCGGTTTGTGGAAAATCCGCGGCGGTAACACGCGGCACCGGCGATGATTTAATTGCTATCACCATAATAGTGAATAATTTTCTGGCCGGCCACTAATTATTAATTACGCACCGGCGCACGCTACCACCGGGATCAATCTTTGACGTTAATTCGAGCCATTCTGGCACACTGATTATGGCTCAGAACTCCCCGGATTATGGTGTT